TGCCCGTAACCTCCCCTTTGTAAGCCTTTTTTAAGCAAACAACCTACAATATTCAGATGGTGATAACTGGTGAGTACCCTCTGTTTGACATATTGTGCCCCTCCCCCCCTCTTAGGAACGCAACACATTAACCCGACCAGGGCTCAAAACCTAACCTTTCGGCCCCAAATTCATAGTGCTAGTCACCAGGTCACCGTCTTTTTCACGAAAAATAAGAAAATTATTGATATTTGTTTTTACAGTGGGCGTGGGTAACTGTCATTAGGTTGTTATCTAAACTCAGGAGCTTACAAGAGTACTCTGAGTGAACTATCCTATGGACTCTTCCTTTTGACTGGAAGCTTTATAGTTTTTTTGAAATATTCTTTAAAAAGGCACCTTTCGGCACTGGTCATATTTGAGCATAATTGGGTAATAGTGTTGTCGGTGCGTTACGCTATGTATATTCGAAAATATCGGTATTGAAAAAAGTTCACTTTCATTTCAATTTACAAAAAAATTTACCGTAAAATCCATACCCAATCGAAGAAATTCGTGGAAGTCCTTTGTATTTTGAAACCGAGATAGTTGTGGTTGAACATCCATTTCTAATTCCTAAAATGTATTAGAATCGACCAGACAGGTGCTTCATTTCAAAACCTCGCTTAGAGAGAAAATACAGTTCTCCGGCTTCACTAAACATAGGTAATGTTTTATCACATAGAGACAAGCTTTAGGCGCTACTTACGAAACAAGCTCTAAATAGACACTTAAACGTTTAAACAAACAATTGCAAACCACCGTTTAATTTTACTGAAGTGCCGAGGACTAATTAATTAAGCTTACGGCACACACTCACCTACACTCGAACTGTAAAAATGTTAAATCACGTCTTCCCTACAATCCTGCTGAAATAGTCTCGCTTCGTATTGGGAAAAAGTGTTGAGGAAAATTTTACGTACTTTTCAGATTTTTTCTGCAACACACTTACTGGTCAACATGTCAATGAAAACGAATTTTAAACTTTTTTTACCTTACAAAACGTTAGTCCTGTGACCACCTTACGGGTACGTTCAGCTTTATGGTTTCCTCAGATTTTTTTGGTACTACCTGAATATAAAGTAGGCCTAATTGTCTTGGGACTGCTGCATCTTCAAATTCTGTTGTCCATTTAACGTGCATGTTGAACGCAGCGTAAGCAACGGCACAATTAGATATACACAAACCCTTTACATCTCTTGTTTTTACGTTGCAAGATGGCAAAATTTGAAGCAGCACATTTACGAATCTATACAAAAGAATATGGTTGAATTTGTATTTACAAAATGTATTTTTTACTTATCTCACAGGTTGCTTGAAGTTACGAACTATTCAAGACATCTCTGGCAAATTAAACAGGCTCTAGAGTAACAAGGGTGAACAACACGCCTCCAGAATGTGCGAAACATTGCGTAATATTTTATCATGTCCTTTCCTTCCCATTGATTGATCATACGATGTAGTTTTTCGTACTTATAGTCGGGAGAGTGTGCATATAAAAGAGGAACAAATGAACGAACATTATAATGCTCGTCATCATCATACCGACCATCGCTATCGGCCTTGTGATGTCTGTGGCGAGACCCTTTATGTTGTCTTTTACCTGGACGTGTGTTTTGACTAGCAACTTTTCTTGCCGCCTTTATCAGGGCATTAGCTAAAGCCTTTCCAACTGTATTCACAGAATACTCATTTCTACTTGCGTTGGACCTTGAAGCCCGAGGGGGAGCGTCTTGTCTCGTCACAGTGGGAACCACTTGATATAGCGGCACTGGAGGACCGGAACGTTGTGGTGGGTTTGGTGGCGGTGGTAACGAAGAGGCGGGAGGTGCAGGGGCAGGAGCAGGGTTGGGGATCTGCCGCATGCTAGGTTGAGCCTGTGACAGTGCTTGCGACAACGCTTGCACTAATCTATCATTACTGATTGGTTGAATACCTTGCTGCATGTTTTGTGCCAAGGCTTGTACAAGAGCAGCTGTTAAAAGGTCTGGCGGCTGGTTTCGCGCCTGAGCTTGAGTTGCAGCGAGAGCCAAGGCAGATGCAAGGGCATTCGGCTGAGACTGGGTCATGGAAGAGCGAATGGCATTGGCAAACATTCCGGTTAAACCATTATACAGAAGGGGATCATAGCCTGTTTGGCCAATAGAGGAGAGGACATTAGGGAACTGTTGGATACCAGGTAGCGAAAGAGGGGAGGGATACATGAGTGATGAAGGGTATTGTAATTGTTGGTTGAGTGGGGAAGCGTACGAAGGCAAAGGTAAGCCTAAAGATTGCATTAATGGTGACTGCAAACTGCCCATGCCTCCGGGATATAAAGACCCTCCCTGTGTCATAAGCCTATTGTTTAAGAGAAGAGGAGAAACTGGATTTAACGAAGGTAGTCCCATAACAGGGTTGGACATTAACATGTTATTTAGTCCTCCCATTGGTGCCGCAGGTGCTGACGAGGACACCGTTATTGCTGCCGGCGGTGATGCGGCTATAGTCACTTGTCCAGGTGGAGCAGCAAAATTTTGTGACGAAGGTGTGGCAATAACGGTTCTGGGTGGCGAAGCTTCAGCCAAATACACTGCAGGGGTGTAAACGGGGGCTGGAGGTGATTGCACCATTGGTTGTTGATACATTATAGGAGCCGGTGGTGGTGCAGGAACAATTACGGGAGCTGGAGCTGGAGCCGGTTGAGGCTCTGGTGGAGATGCAATTATGTATTGTGGTGGGGGAGCTGGCACTGGGGGTGGAGGAGCAATAATGTATTGTGGTTGTGGCGGCGGTGAAGGTGCAGGTGCGAGGGCATACTGGGGTTGAGATTGTGCTTGAGCAGGTTGTGCCATTACTATTTGAGGTTGTTGACCGGCTGGTGACGCTTCCGAGGCGGCAGGCATTTGTGCAATGATTATTTGGGGAGAAGGCTGTGGGGTAGATTCTGCGGGAGCGGGCAAGGTTTGAGCATAAATCACGCGTGGTGTTGGTGACATCGGTACATTTTCATGTTGTTCAGCCTCAGCCGTTTCGCCGTTATCCCCAATCTCTAGATTTAGATTGATGTTGGCAGGAACTGGTGGTGTCCCTCTTTTAAGTAAAGGGTTTTCAGACTGGATGTCTATGATTTGTGGCCGTGCAGGCGGCGGTGGGATAGGTCGTGGGGTTGGTGGCGCGGGCTGCGGTGTCGGAGGAGTGGTTGGTGGGGTTGTTGGCAGAGGGGTTGTTATCGGGGGTAGGGTAGTTGGAGTTGTTAACGGTGTCGTGAGCGTCGTGGGTGTTGTTGTGGGTGTAGTAGGCGTTGTTGGTGTCGTAGGCGTTGTAGGTGTCGTGGTAGGTATCTTCTTTGCCGTTGGTGCCGCAGTTTCAGCTTCCTCGTCCAGTTTGAAAGCCTCATCTTTAGTGTTTATTGTGTTATCAGGTGGCAAAACAATGAAAGGCTCATCGTCTACCACTGGTTCATTGTTGGAAATCTGTTTTTTATACAAGTTTGGGTCGTACCAAGGATGTAGGCCTAGGAAATGTCCCCAATAGGGCTTTCTCGCTGATGGTAGGTAAGTTCTTTTCCAAGTGAAATCTTTTAGTAGAAAAAAAAACAAAACAAAAATTAGTTGTGATTACTTTTGGTTCCTATGGCCTGAGATGAGCTAGGGTATTGCTTGTTATCCAATCGAGGATAGCCCATCAGCCTCCGGTCTTTTTGACAGGTGTCCTTAACGTTACTCACCCGGTTGGACAGAAGCAGCATCATGTACCTCCGCCCTAAACATAAAAATACTGTGACACAAAGAATTTTTATACATTGCAGTACAGACGGTATACCTTAAATTGGCTATAGCGGTCTGAATTTTACCTTATCGGCCTTATAAATGCGAATTTTCTGGTTCTGACACAATAATATGGCGTCGATTAGTCGGATTGTTCATGTCGACAATAGTGTATCAGGTGAAACATACATAGACTGGCCCCGTGAGTAGCATAAGACAATTTTTTTTAAATTAGAAACGAATATAATCGTCTTTGTGTGACCTCGATCGGTTTACGTGTAACATGAATATGTTGGTCACATGTGATTAAAAATGTAATTCCTTGATTATATGCACCTTACCATTGGATCTTCTTGGCTTTGTTTCACCAGTGTGCAAGGAAGCAATTAGATTCCTTTTGTGATTTAAAACTGTCGTAATGAAATAGCCATTTGTATCTTTCATGGGTCTGACATTTTCATTGTCTATGGCTCTTTTGACTTGCGGGTCACCATCTCCGTGTGAAGCTCCGGCCCACTTGTCGGTTCTCCGTTTTAAAGTGATTGTCTTTAGGTGTGCGGTCTTCCTGTTATGAAAAGCAGTTCCTTCATGTATCGTTACCATGAAGATGAAAATAGAGACACATAGCATCACAAACTCTCTCACATGGAGGGCATATAAACGTTTCATGTTGCCCCCGGCGAATTCTTGGCCCTTTTCGCAATCATTTCGTCCCAAATAAGGCAAACAACATCCTCACCACAGGTCCTTGATATTTAAGATATACAGAGAAGCAAAATATCTATCTTAAAACGATAAACATCACTGGACTGTCACTAATTTTCCCATCGGAGTCTTGTTTTACTTAGAGTACATAATTAACCAACTTTTCGTTTAAATATTTATGCCTCGAAGCAGAAAACTAGTGTTTGAAAGACTAGCAGGTTTAATCAGGTGCTAAGTTACCATACGCGCAGGATTTTTTATCCAAAAACGCTAACTTTAGAGGTTATTGTAAATGCAGTTTTTTCGCGGAAATAGGTACCTTGATAACAATGATAACTTCACTTTTGAGATCGTATTTAACTTAGGTAAAGACATGCTAACTTATCATCATAACTCAAAAAGTTGAGTCGACTTTCCCGATCGTGAGTTATAGGGAATAAAAAAAAAAAACTCCTCTTACAGGTTGAATCATCAGCCTCCCTCCAGGTTCGCCAACGGGCTTTAAAACGCCTTCTCCGTATTGTTATAATAACGGAAAAAAGGTGTAATTAAACGAGCCTAATTAAGCTACCCAGTGTGATATTATTGTTCGTATTTGGTATGTAAGCATGCAGACAAAAGGAATTGTTAACTTTTATTTAAGTAAATATTTGTTCGATTCTTGGAGTCCTGGGTAACACATTCACCCTATTAAGAGAATTCCGAAGCTCCTAGTTGACAGTTTTATGAACAAAAGCTTAACTACATAAAGTATTACTAATAGCGCGGGGTAATCAAATCGTAAACGACCAAAACTCTCACAGTGATTTTATCGCCCAGGAGATGAAAACCTAAAATTGCAGGAGGGAAGTTCAAATGGTTAATTCGGTCACACCTGCCCAATCCGGACAATAAAGCGACCAGCATGGAAACGGGTGGTGCTGAATATTAAATTTCGCCGTTCTTCTATGTAGAAGTAACCACAAACAAGATACTCTTTCTTTCTTTCTTATTCGTTTAAGTCTCAATATATTTAGGCGATGAGATTTGCCTTGTTTTGCGTGTCCATACATTTGCTTTTTCTGGGTCATGTGATAGCAAGGGCAGCACAATCAGTGAGACTTCAAAGCCGCCGATTTAAGTCCTCACATCGAATTCATTCAAGGTTATACAGTCATGGAAAGAATCAAATTGACAAGAACAACAAGCATGGTATGTAAGGCGATGTAAAAGTTAACAATAATACATTCGTATGTTTAGTCAGTGACATCATGAACTATTGAGTGTATTTTTATTGTTTTTGAACTTAAGAATAAATAAATCTTATACTAAAAGACAGCTCACTCTTGACAAGAGTCTGCATTCCGTTAGGTAGTGATCTCAAGACGATATTTCTATTTTTGCACTCCAAATGTGATTTGCCTTTATAAGCATGACTGTTAAGAATAACTGCGACTGATAATCGCAGAGTTTCTTTTTTTTTTTTTTTTAATTTTAGATGACCTCGTTACACCAACATTGTCTTTTGTTTTTTTTACTTAAAAAAAGGGGTCCATATTGTTATTCTGATCCAAAAAGAGCCGTCATTATCCTTTCATTATTAATTCCCCTGTGGTTCCAAACCACTGGCAAAGATAGGTTTGAAATACATTGAACTTAGTTAAACTTCTTTCCCACCTGTATAAATTTCTTTAAAATTTCATTTGTGTCCTCAGGATTAAAAAGAATCTCTCCTTTGAGGCGACAGTGCTAATCACATGTTTTTAAGACCGACCTATTATACATGGCTTGAGATAAGCTGACTTATCCCTTTTTTTTTACAGGGCCAGGAAGTGTACCAATGAATGTGAGGCATAGACATCTTTTTCATTCGATATTTAAGCACCGTAAAAAGTTCTTAAATGCTAAAGGTTCCCCAAAAGAAGTGATCGTCAGGGTGAATGGACAAAATGTTTATTCCAGCAAAGCTCAAGGATCAAACTTCTCCATCAATGCTAGCGTACCAACGACTTCTCCTCCTCCTCCTCCCTCGCCTCAAACACACAATATCAACCTCCACATTAACCTTACTAGACCAGTAAGCCCCCCTGGGAGACCAAGTGACCAGCCGATTATTATAGCTCCCCCACCAAGGCCACAGCCAGTTGTAGCTATAGTTCCTCCGATGGCATCACAACCTGCGCCAGTACAAGTTCAACCCATGGTGGTTCCTCAAGTACAACCTCAAGTACTACCACTTCCTGCTCCCACCACTGCACCAGCGCCCCCTGAAAAGAAGGGCCAATCAAGTCTCAGTAAAATATTACTTACGGCTGCTTTGTTGAAGACTCTATCGGGAGGAGACTCTTCTGAAAGCGCAACACAAGGATTTCCATCATTGATGCAAAACCCACTTGCCTCTAATGGCTATTCTCTTAATTCTCTGCTCCCGGGTACTTCAGGTGTTGCTGCTTTGCCATCAATAGGGAATCTTCCTCTGGGCTATCCTCAGATTGCGACTCAGCCCGTCGGAAATCCCTCACTGGGATATCCTCAAGGTAATCTCCCAGTATTAGGATACCCAGCGCAAACTGTTCCACAAACAGGGTCACAAGCCTTGGGATATCCAGCAACGTCAGGCGTCCTAGGAGGCCTTAATGCGGCAAAACCTGGCGTCATGGGATATCCAGCCATTGGCACAAACATGGGATATCCAGCCATTGGCACAAACATGGGATATCCAGCCGTTGGCACAAACATGGGATATCCAGCCGTTGGCACAAACATGGGATATCCAGCCGTTGGCACAAACATGGGATATCCATCCACGGGAAATCCAGGCATGGGATATCCCGCTGTAGGGAATCCAAGCTTGGGATATCCTGCCGTTGGGAACCCTAATGTGGGAAATCCTGTTGTAGGAAACCCATATTTGGGCTACCCTGCAAGGGGTGTCCTGCCGGGCGGTGTAAACCAGAACGTAAGGTATCCTGCCAATTGGAATCCAAATAACAGGTATTTAGACGGCAATAAGCAAAACAGTAGAGATCCTATTAGTGGGAATCAAAACTTGGGCTACCCGGGAGGAGCTAATCAAAACGTAGGGAATCCATCCGGAACCACCCAGAACTTGGGTTTTCCTGCTGCTGCGAGCCAAAATATGGATGCTGAAGCAACGATACCAAACTTTCTGAGTGGGCTAGCTCCTGAACCTTCTGCTAGCCCTCTTGAGGCTAACAATCCACCATTACCTGGTCCATCACCTGGTGTACAATCAAATGCACCAACCGCTACTGTGCCTCCTCCAGTATCTTATAATGCCCTATTGCCTGCGAATGCGTCGCCTGTTGGTACCGCTGGTGGGAACCCTAACCTTGCTCAAGGTCAGGGCCAGACTGACACTTCAGAAACACCCGTTGTGCAGCCTAATGTAGGAGTAGCAGGGACACCTGGAGTAGTGACAGGTCTCTCTCAAGCTCAAGGACAGGGCACTGGCACAGTTCTGCCTGCAACAACATCAGCAGGTGTTCCAGGATTTGATCCCAGTTTGTGTTGGTGTGGTTGCGAGCCGACGTGTGCTAATCCGTGTGACCTGTGCAATAGTAGCAGAGAGAATAGTTATGGCAACATTTTAAATCAGTACAATACTGGCTCAATAAATCCTTCCAATGGACGGAAGAAATAATCGTTCGTAATCAGCAGAGGCTTCCTCGCAATTTTTGTAAGAGAGTTAGAGAGAGGTCTTCGTTTTCTTATATTGTATTATTCTTCATTGTCAGCAAGGCTGAAATGATAAGTAGTGCAGACCTGAACATGAAAGTGTATTGTTAATCTCACTGGTATTTCTGAAAATTGACTTAATATATTGGTATGCAGTATGTATTGGTGCTTGGTTAGTAGCTCGAAGTTAAATTGTCTTTGAGAGAAAAAGACCAGATTGGCGCCAGATTTCCTCTCATGAAAGGTGGAAATAAACAGTAGCTCAGAAAATTTTATTCCATTTTACGACAGCTATGAGGTTTTAAAATGGCTAGGATAAAATTGAATCAATGTACGATTCAACTTAGTGTAGTTTGAGGGTCCCCTATCAGAGTAGACTGCTCTTGTGGTTACTGACGTTTGAAAAGCTTGTTACTTAGCAACTCACCTTCCCACTTACTTAGTCAGAGAACGAAGTGAGCCGTGCTTAATGGGATGGCAAAATATATCACGTCGGGCTAAGATGATGGGTCGTCATTGGCACCTTTCAAGTTTCTTCGTTCACAGACTTTGGTGCTAGATAATTCTTTTGCATAGATACATTTTAAACAATTTGTATTAAAAAGGCTTTTTTATTCAACGTTCATGTTGTTCTGTGATAATTGTCCTTGTACATTCTGTTACAACAATTATCGTCGATAACAATGACAAAAGTCTCGATAACTTGAGCTGCAATTGTTATCGAAGTCAATGATGACTTCCGTTCCGGTTGGTAAATGTCACTCACCGGTACTGGTATGGGGTGATGGCTCTTACAACAAACGATCAGCATGTTTCCATTGTTATCACCAGAATTATTTTTACGGTTAATTTTATTCACCACTAATGATTATAATTTGTCAATTTTTACGACGAAGGCTAACGTTAACCCCATTGATACCCCTGTTACCGAAATTAGTCCCCCTCAGAACTAGCCTCGCCCTGAAGATCATATGATGCACTAGACTGTTGCTCCCACCCTCAGAATACTTAATAGGTTTGAACTGCACTGCACGAAAGCGCTTGAACCTGCCCTGGGCAGAGGCTTTTCATTCACTAGACTTTTGCAATTCCATAAAATATTTTTTAATGAATCAGCAATTACTTTCCTTCGCAAAATGCTTGTGAATGGTTTCCTCCAACTAATTTGAAAAGCTTTCAAAATAACAGTCAGTTAAGTGTATTGTCAAGACATCAGAACTATTCTTGAAGTAATCAATTCTAATCTACATCTTTTCCTTAATTTGCATTTCTTGCCACGCAAGTAGCTCAGGATATTTCAGACAAAGATGAAGTAATTCTAGAAGCGGTCAAATGCTATGACGAATTGATTGCATGCACGGGAAGAACTAATTTGTAGATGATCTTATGGACTCAGGTCATTTTTATGGTCATTGATTTGTACTGATTTTTTTGTTCAATTTCCTCCTTTCTTGTTGAACAAATGAGCATTGTCGAAGCGCCTGTAACAATCAATGGGCAATTCATTACCCTGCTTTCTTTTCATAGTCGTAAGAGGAAGTGGGATTCCATAACAATGGAAGTTTTGGTTTAAGAAACTTCCATCACGACTCATCTAACGTCTTAAAGAACCCCAAGCTGAATCCACCAGTTTAAGTTATAAACTTTATTTTATGAGTCACGAGAGAAAGGGAGATTACTTGTAAGCAGTCAAACTAATCCTCCCATATCTAAAAAAAATGAAGAAAGGATCACTCAAGAACAATGCAAAACCAGTTTTGTCGACTGGTGTTTATAAATATTTGATTCATGGCGTTCGAGTTAAACGGGGCATTTACAGCACTTTAGTGCTAGGTAATAAAACATGGAAAGAAATAAGGTTTGTGACCCATAACTCATAGTATGAAAATCAAGGGAGAGGTTCTTCTGCTATGGCAAGTTCTGTGTGTACATTGGGTGATCACTCTGGCTGGACATCATAGAAAAAACGGCCAAAGGTCACGAACAGAATCTGACGTGAAGGATAGAAGACACAAATTAAACAACTACTTTCTCCAAAGGAGGATAAATGGTAAGAGTTGAGTGGAAATGTTATCATGAACTATCTTTTTTTCTGTTAGTTGAAGTGTAACGGGAGTGGATATAGGATCTGAGCGAGACAAGGATGACCTAACACAAAGTATTAGGAAACTTAATCTTCCCATCCTTTACTTGACAATGAAATTGAACCGTGAAGCGCACGATCTGTAGAGACAGTATTTATTACATATATACAATTAGAGGCTGGAAAAATAACAGACGGTGATTGAAGGTAGAATCGACCCTGTCGAATGTGATATTATCCGTGAAGTGTTAATTTGGCCCAGCCGTGGTTGACGTGACAAAAAGTTGCCGAAAAATGAAAACAGATCATACGAAAACGCTGTTTGTATAAATTTTTCAGGATGTTTTGACTTTGTGTGAGATGAAGTGAAAAATGGTCGTTTCCTGTTGATGAGGTATCGGGTTTCAATATCAGTAACAAAATCAATGTTTGCACAAATTTGGTTGCAACTTCAATTCAGATATGCCTTTTGTATCGAAATGACGGCTGAAATCTGCTGCAGCGCATGCTGTTACACTGCGCTTTAACGTGATTTGATATTAAAACGCTCGACCTTTAAACTTAAAAGAGACAGTCATATGAACTACATGCCACCAATCAACCTGACTTTAAGATCATACTAAGGATGAAAAATGTATTCATTTATTATTTCATACAATTCATTGGTACATTAATTGAAATTCAAAAAGAGTGCTCACGATATAAATAAGAGGAAATATGTTAGATTACAAGTAGCATAGTACAAGTTCGAAAACTGCCTTCAAATGAGAAAAAAAAGTAGACGGAGATCGTAGTTTTAAAAATGACTCAGCAACCTGACTGGACACGTGAAACGAACGTGTAATTAACGAGCATCCGCTAGGAAAGCCTTCGAATAGAAAAAAAATAATTTGAATCATATGTGCATTGTTTGTAGCTTCCAGTAGTTTAAAATAGATCGCGATGAGATTGAAAAGAAGGCTGCGGGATTTCGTTATGTCAGGGTAGAAAGATTGAACATGGAATCGTCTTTGGTCCAATAATTTTCTTAGAGTTGAAAATTAAGTAATGATTTCAAGATAATTTTCAAAGGATGATATAAGAATCATTTGGCTTTCGGATCTTTTACTTCTGCCATAAAATGCGTGGATTAGTGACTTTCCGAATGACCAGGATTGTATTTTCAATCATTTATAAGAATGAACTAAGGTACCTCCTAATATGAGTAGTGCTCAAGTGTATTGTGGAGTTTTTGCATCAAGTGATCTAACACTTGGGGGATGACCATGGAAACTCTTTAGATCATTATAGAACACTACTCTGAACTACAATCGTGTGGTCCCTTTTATTCGTGGTAGTCTGAGAAAATGCAAAGGACAATCGAGTATAAACTTTCAAAATGTAGTGGTGCATGGTTTTTTTCCTCTCTACATCAATTTGGTGCATCCAACCCCGCATTTATAATCTTCTCAATTAGTAAAGAATTTTGCATCAAGGCTGTGAAGTGTCGCTCGGAGTGATTCAAAACCTATATCAATTGTTTGTCAAAAATGACTAAATAAATATATGTATTGATGTTACCATTTTACTACCAGAAAACAGTAAGAATTGTGGTTCAGGAAATTGAGCTGGAGAGTGTAAGGGTAAGATAGAATTAGGACTAGAGCCACGTGTTTCAGAGCAACATTTTACACCGAGAACATGTGCAGTAAAGGTGAAAGAATTCTAACTCAAATCCTTCTATTTTAGGATCTCTTCACCATCCACTTAATCATCTAGGATCTATCAGGCGATCTTTTATCGGGCGTAAGGTACACATTAAGGGTGCACCAAAAGGTGTTATCGTGACCATAAATGGGCAAAGAGTTGACCCAAATACTGGCAGCACAATATTACCCATACAGCCACCTCAGCCAGCACCCCAGCCAGTACCACTACCAGGTCGGAATGTTCCCATTAATGTTCATGTTCACGTAAATAAAAAATACAACGATGCCAACATCATTGGTCAACGTAAGCAACCCATTATAATCACTGCACCCAATCCTTATCGAGCTGTGAGACCAATTGTGATTCCGATGCCAGCACAAGTGCCAGCTCCACAGCCCCTTATATTACCTGCTCCATTACCTCCTCCTCCGCCTCCGGCTGTCCTTCCAGCGCCTGTTCCATTACCTTTACCAGCACCTCTACCACCACCAGTTGCCATTCCAGTTCCAGCTCCAGCTCCAGCTCCACCTCCAGATAAAGAAGACTCAAACTTTGCAGAAATTCTTCAAACAGCTGCATTGCTTAACACTCTAAACAAAAAAGAGGAAAGTCGCCCAAAAGTTATACCAGTTGTTCAGCCTGTAATTACTCCAATGGCTTATCAGCCTGGCAGAAATCCAGCGCAGGGATATCCAGCGCATGGAAATCCGAATCAAGGATATCCGCCGGATGAAAATCCAAATCAGGGATATCCAGCAGGTGAAAATCCAAATCAGGGATATCCGGCTGGTGAAAATCCAAATCAGGGATATCCAGCAGGTGAAAATCATAACCAGGGATATCCAGCCGGTGGTGGGAATCAAAATCAAGGATATCCAGCAGGTGGAAGCCAAAACCAAGCCACAACAGGAAAAGCTCCAGTAGGAGGTACAAATATTCTTTCTGGACTATCAGGAATCCTGCCTTTGTTGCTTCCCTTCAATTGTAGATGTGGATGCGAAAGAAGGTGCCCGGACCTTTGCAACCTTTGCAAAGACGTCGACGAGGAAATAATTGACACATTAGACTGTTGTAAGTCAATGCCATGTCCCTGTGTAAATGCCGCAGCAGGCACACAGCCTGTAGGGGCAACTGCAACAGGAACTGTGTCAACTCCCAGTGGGGGTGCCGTAGTTCCTCAGCTGCAACAAGGTGTTGTGCAGCAGGCACCAGCATCAACCGTAAACCAGATACAACCAATGCAAATCTCTAACGGTGCTACTGCCCTTGCAGCTCCCCCCCAACCTGGTCTGGTGCCACCATCGCAGCCAGCTTCAGCTCCACCTCTCCCTTCATTATCTGTATTACCTGGACCTCAGGCTCCCGGTGTATCATCGCAACTTGCATCAGCACCACCTCTGCCCTCTTTAGGGCGGCCAGCCTCAGCGCCTCCTCTCACTTCATCATCTGCATTACCTGGACCTCAGCAACCTGGTCCAGCATTACAGCCAGCTTCAGCGCCCCCACTTCTGCCACTTGTTCCTACATTACCACAAGCCCCTAATCCTCCTGTTGTTTCATCGCCTGGAACTCAGTCTTCTGGCACAGCATCTCAGCCGTCTGCTCAAGCACCTAAACCTTCATCATCTGGTTCTGCTCTAGCGCCTGCTGTTCCACCCCCACTCCCACCCAAACCAGAAATTTCTCCTCCAAAAACAACCTCATCAAAGCCAGGTCGGGTCCCGGCTCCTGTATCCCCTGAAGCTGTTCCACAACCTGAGCCAGAAATTCCAGCTCCAGGTCCTCCTGGTTCGACTGTCCCACCTAAGCCGGAGATTCCAGGAAAAGGGATAAGTACTGGAACGGGTACTGAACCGCCTGGGAACGAAAATACTGCACCTGAATTAGAGCCACCTCCCACTGATACAGGCTCTCCAGGTCCTGACAATTCAAAGACTCAAGGTGAGTTAGTTGCTCCTCCTCCGGACAACTACGGACCCATCGAGATACCAACAGTTCCAGTCTTACCGGGTGAATCACCAACCACTGGTGAGTATCACGTTTAGAGAAATTATAAGTAAAACCGTCTTTGGAGCAGGCGCGTTTCTTAAACATAATTTTAAAACCGTTGGGACGTAAAGAATGTTATATTTGCAGTATCCTTTTTGAAGAAAACTGCGTTGAAAGATAATGAAGGAAAATTTTAGTAGACGTAACTTCATTTTATTGAATGGAAATGAGGAAAGAGTCGAGTTTAACGCGTGAAATGTTACAAAGAAGAAAAAAAGCATAGTTGGATCTAATGATCTACTATCCTTTTGAGTTGATGAGTGATCGAAATGGAATGCTCTCCAAACTCTTATCTTTTGGATGGTTATTTCTACAATAGACTCCTTGAGAAGTTTACTGACAGCTTTTCGTACTTTTTGAAAATATGTTGTTGCTGATTTGTAGGTCTCTATATAAAAATGTTCTCTTTGTGCTGATTTGAATATATTCATGTAGAAATGCTGGAATGCTTTGTTAAGTGTTTCCATTATCTTTTAGCGATTTTCACTGTAGACTTCAAACCTGAGCATATCACCTTTAAAGTCTAAATCAAGCTGATGGTGTGCTTGGCTGGAAGCAGTTTCGAGATATTATTCTCTTTCCTTATGTGACATTCAAATCTATTCTTCCCATTTCCAGGTCATTCTCAAACTACAAGTTATCCTGTTGGTCCAGGGCCTCCTGGCGCAAATCCAGCACCTCCTAGTTCATCTACCTCTTCCACAAATCCTTCGCCCCCTCTTCCGTCATCGCCACTCATGAAGAATGCATATCCAGTTCCTCCTCCAGCCCCTCAGGTATTTATCATAAAGGAAAATAGCAATCCAACAAGAGGCCCAGAGGACAGTAAAAGTGCTGAGGCACTCAATAGTTTAAGCGAATCATTTGAAAGTGCTTTCAAAGAAGCGCTTAAATCAGAACGAAGGAAAATAGGAAAATATAGAAGTCATGCTAAAGGGCATTTTAGTATTAAACCCGAGGAAGAAGACAATTGGAATACAAAAGACAGCGAAACAGATGATCAAGAGGAGGAGGAGGACGAGGAGAAGGTGCAGTCTCATGGCGGCTCTCGGAGAGATTTCACCGACGGGGAAGACAGTAAACTCAACGAGGATTTTTCTAACGATGATATAAATGATAATGGCAATGAAGATGACAGTAATGATGATGATGGTATTGATGATAATCATGATAATAATGCTGATTCTAATACTGATGAAATAGATGATGATGATCATAGCGATGATAATAGTGATGACGATGGCAATAATATTGATATCAAGGCGGAAAAAGAGCCGCCATACGACTTGGACCAACCTCGTCATTCTCATGCTCTATCATACTTCAGAGGAAATGAGCAAAGATACGAGGGAAGACGCAAAATGTATCCGACAAATAAAGGAAGGAAGTATCAAAGACTTCATGATCGGCATCGAAATGGAAAACAACGCAATGAAGAAACGAGAGAGAGTGAGCTGTTGTATGATCGTTCAGTCAACGGTGCTCTCAACCGTGATCGTAATAATGTTCATTCTCGCTATCACAGAAAGAAATTTCCATTATCTAAAACAGAAGAGGACGAGGAAATGTCACCAGAACATGATTCCAATTCAATCCATGTAGAAAATGTTCAATACAATCCATTGGAAAATACTGAAATTTCCCGCCTTCGTCATGGAGGTGCAAGTAGGACTTTCAAGAGCCCAAAGCATAGTTTAAAATCTCCAGAATCCCCTAAGGAAAAGCACCATGTGCCTTATAATCATGATAGAATCAAATTTCGTCATTTTCAGGACAAAGGCTCAGACAAGCATGCAGGCCACGATAAAGAGGGTGACCACACCTTCATCAAGGAACATCATGATCATCATTTGAGCCATTCAAAAACTGCAATGTTACCTGAAGATGAAATCACTGAAGAGTCAGCCTCAACGATTGAAGAAACTAGTTATTCAGGGCATAATGAGAAGGTTAAATCCTTAAAGTCATTGAAGAATTTCTTAACTTATACACACTACGCGAAAGGTGCGTCTCATCACCTTGTAGAAGACACTCGCACTAAAGACAAAAAAACTCCTCTTGGTACTGTGGAGTCATTTAAATCAGGCAATCATAGGCATTCTAGCAAACATAGCAAATCAAAACAGGAAAAGGACATTGCAGAGGATTATAGTGAGAGTTCGGGTAATGAATCTGGTCAAAATTATAACAGTGGCGATTATGAAGATATTGGCAGTTAGGCAAATTTAAGCACATTGTTTAAAAATAAGGTTTCTTGTAATAATCTAGACAACTGTCACTTTAAATAAAAAAAATTTTCTTTCTTTCTCTGGCTGAATTTATTTTGTCTCATTTTAGTCATGGGAAGGCTTTTTTATGATGTGAATCGCAAAATGCACATGTATGTTTTTCCTTAGCTTTCGATTAGGTTTGCTTTTTCTGCGAGAATATTACAGCTGACTGTTTTCAACAGTTGTGGGCTTTCAAAGGATATTTATATCGACCTTGCAATTACGTTATATGTCTTTTTAGACGGGACACGTATCGAGTGAAGAGAGTTCACATGGAGGTAGAGGACCTCAGGTAGGTGAGGTAACCCGCCAAGCCGAGGTGGAAAAATAGCCCGCGTTTACATACAATCTTACAACCCCGGGATCCCTTGTTGAAGTTACTTTAGAGGTTACTGGCGCACTTGTAAGTGCAACCTGAGCGTAACCCCGGCTTGGCGGTTACCCCACCTTGACACATTTACATTGCAAATCGTGACCCTAGCTGTCAGGGTTATCCTACCCAGCAGACCAGGCAACCCGCCTGGCTGGGTCATCCCACTTATCATGTAAACGTGATCAAGATAAAATAATAGATTGTATGGACAGGCGGGCTACCCCAACTAGGCGAGTCACCTCATTTACCAGGGGTCTCCCACCTCCTTTAAAACAGGCCCTTAACAAAATTGGTCCTTTACGGGGCATTGGTCATTTGCCTGTTGAATGCAGAGAACGAGGTATGCGCAGTTCGAAGGAGGGAGAGGATTTAAAGTACCGATTTTTAGTTAACTTTGAGTTAAGTTGTGCTGTTTTCCTGATAAAAGTAAACATGACGATTGTATTTTTTTTTCTCAGAGGGCACGGTAACGAATCCTGCAATCTGATTGGTTCTTAGCGCGGTCCGTATTTTCCTATCTCTGCCACGGGCAACGATAACTCTTTCGTGAGTCGCCGAGTACATCCCTACCTTTGTTGCTATTTTTCATAAATGTATCTCGCTTTTCTGGCTAGGTAGTATTTTTAAGCAAAGACGTTCGTTGGTCACTACTTCAAGCCGATAAATAACTTATTCCCTCGGTCTTGATTACCGCCCTCGGCCTTCGGCGGTACTCAAGACCTCGGGCACAGTTTTTCCTAATACAGACCTCCCGGCTGGCGAATAGCATATGCGGTTTCTTTTTTGCGGCTTTTCTCGCGTACGAGCCGTACACCAATGGATATAAAAAAGCTTCACAAAAGCAAGTGCATGCGCTTTTTAAACTTCTTTTCTCTTTTTTACCAGGTTCTTGAAAAAAATCACCTTCTGACGCTAAATCGTCGTCGGTAGAAGTTTTGTTGCAATTTTGAACGCTTTGCAAAATGTTCTTGAGTCTTTCCTTTGTACTTATCATGTTATACAATGAATACAGCTAACGGTTTATTTTTTGGAAGAGTGTGATATAACTGAAAAAAATTGAATTGCCGTCTTGTACCTAGTTATACTTCCAGCATTGACCTATCAGGGTTAGGATTTAGGGTTGGAAGGAAGGAATGGCAAAGGAAGGAATGACCACTTCTTTTTAAACAAAAATATATTTTATTTCCGAAGTAGGCCTCTTTACAGCTCACATGCCATCGTCACAATTAGGTTATGAGCGGTAATTAAAGATGAGATGAACGAATGATGAATGAATTTTTCTTAATACAAGGTTCTTAGTTTTGATACAAAATGAACACAAAATGAAATTTTTATGGTTTAACTCGATACAAGCCAATAAGTGTGGCTTTGAGATTTTCCCATTCGTAACGAAGAATTTGTAAATGAAGGAAAATTATAAGTAACAATTGTTATGTAATTATGATATGAAACGTCCTATTTGTACCATATACTTAAAGATTATTACATTCTCGTAACAGATGACTCTAGTAAATTTTTTTTTCCTTTTGAAACCTTTTGAGTCAATTTTCTTAACATTGCTGTAAACAAGTTTATGATGAATCAGGCGATCATTTTTCCTATTGTTTTACTCTTTTCTATCCTGAAGCATGATTTTACGTTGTCAGATATTTCAAACATTGCCTCTTCTTTTCAAAGTAGATTGATCAATTTACATTTTCCGAGTTACACGTATGGTTATAGCAGAAGAGAAATAAAACTTCCGTCTTCCCTCTCTTATCTGGCATTTGGCCGAGTTCTGCGATAAAATAAAGAACACAGAGCTCTTTATTTCGCAGAGTTTTCTTCCTTCTTTCTCCCTTATGAAAACATCTTATAAGTTGTTTAAAAAACTTCTCAGTTTCCTACAAACTGTATTGCTCTACGTTGGTAAGCTGCATTCCTGAAGTGTTGATGAAAACTTGTACAAATTTTTCTCTCCTCATTGCCGAGTTAAATTTGCGAGCTATCATCTGTTCGGTAGCGCCAACAGAGCGAGTGCCTTTGCTAGTTCTCTTTCGTCGTTCATTCTTTGACTCTGTCGCTGTGTCTGTGGAGGTAACCTTCTGCGTTCCGCCTGGGCTTGTTGGTAAGGTGTCGGTGTGCTTGCTGTAAATGGCCTGCGAGATGAGCCGTAGGGGACTCTCGCCGATGGCGGTATTGTCTTCATGGGTACTATATGTTGCTGAATATGTATTAAAAAGGAAGCTTAATAATAAATGACAAAGAAATCGTAAAAAAGTCACAGAAAACAATGCCGCAGCATGATTAGAAATATTCCCAACTAACTACTCCTTTTTCATATTGCTTGGTTTCATCAAATGAGTTGATGATGTAAATGAGCCACCAAAATGAATTTCTAAAGCCGACGTTTTTAAGCGTTAACCTGTCGCTCGAAATGTTGATTTTACAGCATTGCCATGCTTCATCTTTTATCATCATTGTCATGATTATAATTTCTATCTGTCATTGCTATTCGTTTTGTGAATTACTATCGTTAACAGAAATTGGTCAGAGATGATTGGTGAGTCACCTTCCGTGTTAGTGCAGTTTTAATCACAAGAAACAGGCATTTAATGAAAATTGTTCTTTTAACTCGTTAGAAAGCAGTCGAATGGTTATAAGATAGAAGCCGCAAAGCTAATTGGTGAAGATAAGACGAAGAAAACAGCGTTAGAGTATGAAACTTACTGTGTGCCCCTTTGATTTAATAGTTGCAAGAGAAGTCTTAAGTTATCGTTATGTAGCAGACTTACGTCAGAGGAGGTGTCCACGCATCATGCCTTCCATACACGTTGTCACGTTGTAGTCATCAAATATCGTCAAAGTTTCATTAATTAATGACGATTTATGCGTAAGTTAATGAAAGCTAAGCTGCAGAAATGTTGATGCATTCATGCCTCATTGCAACATGCTGCTGCATAACAGAATTCAGAGCCTAAGTCCAAAAACCACTGGGAACTCACGTAGTCCTAAGGAGTTATATTTGGCAGTCCAATGCAAATGAAAATTCCGATTGAAATACCTTCTCATGTAAGAGCACACAAAGGAAATGGGATTGCAGCAGCTAATGCATCATTTTGTCTGTAGTCCTCTTTAAATAATTTGGATTTTATGGTTGAATAATTTCGTTAAGGGAATAAATGATCCAAAATTTCCACAATCTGTCACCAAAAGTGATTGGGAAGAGGACAGCTAACTCTTTCTGAGACGAAGTCTCGCTATTTCTGTTATTGCACGAATACAGTACGTTTTCGTCCCGTTATGTTTGCCTCAGTTTTGTTGTCAGGCAACAAATTACCAATATTATGGTACCCTTTTACGGTTAACAGAGGCTTTAAGTATTAACATAAGATATTAGCTTATTAGAAAGTATCAACCTGTTGATATATTATCTATTTGCCGTGATTTTTTTTATTTCATTATCTTTAGATAATTTCCCGCTTCAAAATTATATTCAATAAGTTAACTGATGAGCAAATTGCGTTATGAACCAACTTTTTTTGTTACATCACTTCTATTTACATCATTTTTACATACTAAAAATCGTCCAAAAAATACTGTTAGATATTTCCCTCCTACTATCATTGTTCAGAGCTCAATTTTAAAAATGTTCAAAGCCTTAGACCGACTCGTAGAGTTGCTTTGTTGCTCTTACATAGCATTTTGCAGAAATATGCAATTTGCATATACGATATTTGTTTTGATCTTTTCTGTATCATGGTTATGGGTGAGCTGATTCACAGATATTCTTTTGATGAATTGGTGGTGGTCGTATTTTTTTTTTTTCGTACGTCCAAAATCGTGGTTGGTGTAGGTAGACGAAGGAACGTCGTTATCGGTCTGCTTATTGCATCGTGAGTATGGGTGAGCTGTTGCTCACTTCGTTTTTGGAGCTGGTAGTGCTGCATAACTGATCTAAGTTTCTATTTGGTCTACACTCAGACGAATCTCCTCCCTGAGAAAAATTTTTCGCGAGTGTGGATCAAAATGGGACTACCTATGAAAATATTTTCAACTGAGAATTTCAGAGCCAAATTTCAAGTTATCAAAACTGCCAGCTACGGCAAACATCACACTAATGAACGACTTTAAAAACGGAAAAAGGCAAGATGCTGAGCCGTGATTGGTTTTGAATTATGCAGCTGATTGCGTGAGAGGCTGGGAGCATTTTCTGTACCAATCAAGTAGCATTGTGAGGTGCAACAGTGAATTGCTGTTGCTGCTCATTTGCAGAAAATGGCCCCTTCTGATCCAGTAGTTAGCCTGGACGAATGTCTTTCATTACGTTCCTTTCACACCTTTTATGCTGTTTTTACTTTGGTGCAGCGTAGTTTTCTCTTTAGCACCACGTTTTTTCTTTTTCTTTTTACGCTTACCATATCTTAACCTGAGAATATCATTTAATACCCTTTGTAAATATTGCTGTGTGCTAGACTGTGTGTTAAGAGAAGGTAGTCTTTGAAGTTGGTAGTATAGTTGGTACGGTACAGTCTCTATGTAGATAGGTCGGTTGGAAAGTCCGTTTGCTAGTTGTGACTTTCTGCTTCCCAAAGCAGAAACTTGTGGGTAAACCGTCTTTTGTGCCTGTGCAATCGAGTTTAGTGATGTCATGAGCGGAAGAGAGCTCGGCCCTCCTTTATTTTGCCTTGGTTGAGGAAGTGAAAGAGGAGCTTGTACCTGTTGCCTTCCATATGCATTTGTAGTTAAAGGGGCCGCTGGTGTCTTCAATAAGCTTGTTAGAAGTCGGTAATATGGAGTATAAAGGGTCTGTGAGAGTTGTTTTGGATTAACCTGGGTGACCATGTTGGTTTGTTCTGTTGAAATCCTCCCTCCGGTTTTTCCTGTCATTGTAGGATTTGTATATGTCGTAACTTCCCCCGGTTTGTTGTTAAAGGCAGCACTGGAAATCTGTTTCGTTAACGATTGTAAGAAGTTTGTATTCCCTTCTTCTCCTTTGATGTTTGCTACTTTTGTCAGCGCCTTGCTAATTGTCTTAGGATAAAAATAATAGTAGAGCAATACCTGGGGTGACACTGTGTACGGAGAAGATTGCAGACTGGGTAAAAGACCAACTTTTGGAGCATATGCTGGAGGTTTGTTACCATGAGCTTGAGGACGTAAGGGGGAGAAAGACCGACTTGAAGCTGGTGCCATAGGCAAGACACGACTTCTCCAAGCAACCCAGGGCCAAGACGCTTGCCCATAAATCAAATGTGGCCTGAATGGAGAAATTTTAGGCTGTGCAATCCCTGTGGCACCCTTCCGTGTAGTTGACGAAAGCGGACCCTTTAAACTTGACTGCGTCCTTAAGGCAGGCATAAGGAGTCTTTGCTGTAGTTTTGAAGAATATGGCGCCTTTGGATAATAGCTGGCATAATACGGGTGACCAGAAGGCAATTGTTTTTTAATTGGTGGGACCATCTTTCTCGGCCATGGTATGGTCGTCAAAGTGTTGCTCGTCAAGACATGATTGGGTTGTTCAAGCATGGCCATCTTATATCCAAGTGATTGTTGTCGACTGGGAGCTGTTGCTAGCTGGGCCTTAACTCCCCCAAACTGAGTTTTCACGTTACTCGGAACCCGAAGGGGAGGCATGAAGTTTACTTTCTGCCTTTGCTGGCTTAACGCAGAATTTCGTATCGATCCACCGGAAGGATTTTGAATGCCTACTGTCTTATTCTGCAAGGGCATACCCTGACCGATGCTTATCGGCCTTGATTGTCCTAACAGTCGTTGACCTGTCGAAAGAGCAGGATAAAAGGGCTTCTGACCTCCAGGAAGTCCTTGCCTAATGCCACCTACGGGAATGTGCCATATGATTGGTTTCTGGAATCGTGCATCATTATTCACTCTATTGGGAGACATGTTCGGCTGAGTTGTTATTGATTCTTGTTTAGCATATTGCTCTTGAAATCCTCCTGGTAGTCCTTGCCTCGTACCTCCCAAGGGAATGTGCCATATAATTGGTTTCTGGAATTGTGCATTAGTATTCATCCTATTCAAAGACATGTTGGGCTGTGTTATCTTAGATTCTTGTTTTGCATATTGTCCATTAAGTCCATCTTGAACATTAAGAGTATTTAATCTTTGAGGCTTTCCGGCGCCATTTTGCACATAAGGAACCCGTTGGCTTCCTGGTGTATTCATTTCCATCACACTCGGGAGTGAATTTATATTCACTTGTTGCTTATTAAACAAAGCTTGTGATGAAAATGATGGCTGATGGTTGTTATTTACCATCTGGGCAGTAACTGGAGTATCGTGCCTTATTGAAGCTTGTGTTGCATATGGAGTAGTCACACCAGGCGGATGGTTGTTCCACATATTACCAGACAAGAGATGAGGCACTGGCAGTGAGCTACCTGCTGCTGGCTTTATTTTCGCGTTATATGCAGGTTTGTAAAATGTTTGTGGTTTTTTCTGTTGTGGAGGTAGCGAATACCCCTGAGGTGGTCTATAGAGCATTGGCAGCTGCACATCATAACGAGGAGGCACACCAACATTCAGACTGGCCAGTATTTGCTGCAAATTATTGGCGACGTAATCCTTTATGGGAGGTGTTTTTTGATAAGCTGATGATATTGCATTCATACTCTGAGGCTGAGGCCTGTAAAAAGCGGCTGGTCCATTCTTTCGTAGCCCATTTACGGGCGGTGTCATGATTGCGGTAGAGCCTCGTGTGGTCGATGACTCCTCTGTCACTTTCTTTGGTTTATGTGCTGGGTAAAGATAAATAAAACTGTGTTAAATAGGCTGTAAAGTCTCCTACCGACTCCAAAGAATGAAGGCTGGACTTGTCATCTTGTGGCCCTGGGTTCAAGCCCTCCACCTTACTACTCAATAGACTTGTTCTCGGTTGTCCCGAGTTTAAATTTTTGGCTGTGCTTTGCATATAGCCAACTAGAATGCTACGTGTCTGTTGGGGTCTTGAGCATTAAGGGCCACAAGCTTGTCAGTTTGTAACTGTATAGATTTACCTTAAGTAAATAAAGTCTCATTACTATATGTTATTATTATTATTATTATTATCATCATCATTATTATTATTATTATTATTATTATTATCATCATCACTATTATTAGATTAGCAGACTCGGAAACTTACTGAAGTAGACGCGGCAGTGTCTCATCAACACAAGTATTTCCAGGCGTGGCAGCTCACAGGGGAAAATGTAGAACTCGTCAATCATTCCTCGTAACAGGCGATTTCCAAATTGATGTTTATGACGACCTGTGGGTAGTACGAGCAAACATAAACAATCGGGCTTACTTTAAAACTTTTAGCTATAATATGTTCAGAGCCATGATAATTCTCAAAGCGCAAGGAAAACCTAACGGCTCAAAAAGCCTTCAGGCGTGATTTAATTTTGTATCCAAGGAACACATACCTATTCCGGCCTTGCCTCCCCAATCTTGAGACAAAAAACCTCGCCCTTTCTCCTCCTGAACCATATCTCCATTAACAAAAACCTTGAAGAGAAGCGTTCACTTGAGATAAATGTTACATAGGGGAAATGTTTCTAATATTGTTGTATGTGAGAGCACTGATTTTTTAGTTGAAGTAGAATGTAGTTATAATTAGAAAGAAAACCCAGTTTTGAAGAAGAAGGGTTAGTAAAAGCAAATGAACAAACGCGATGGTTGCGGAATGATCATGGAATTAAGCTACTACGCGAGTGATTGCAGGATTAAGAATGTTGCGTTCAGAACACGACCTCGTTTATTTGCTGTTAAATTACAACGCCAAAATTGAGTAACGAACGACAGCCAAGGCAGTAAAAGGTACGACATCATATTCAACGACGGTGCCGACTTCTTTAACTCGATGAATTATGAAAAAATTGAAGTAAGCATTAGGGAAAAATTACTTTTAAATCAGAAAATGATAGGAACAGAACAGGGAGATCTTTAAATGCATGTAATTCGTGCTTTCTCGGCCATCATTATGCTGCTTCTGCCAATGAGAATTCAGAATTTCTCGCAGTGAGAGAAGTTTGGGTCTCTGATCTGTGTAAATTATGAGCATAAGCTTCATAGCTATTGGTTATTGTAGAAATTTGCAAGCGTCTGAATAATGTTTAAAGCGCGTTATGTATGTTTTGAATAAAATAGTAAATAAATAGTTTTACTTGTTAGTGCGCTAACTTCTTGTCATTCTTCAGTTTTATTACAATACTCACTCTTGCCCGTTGTTTCTTTGCACTGTAAGTCGCTGTGATTTGTGTCCAGACTCCTTCTCTCACTACGGGCCGCGACAGCAGACTGAATATGGTGTCATGATTTTCGTTTCTGTGAAACCAACGCACTTTTCCATTTTCAATCTCAAAGTGGTACTGACCATCTTTGTGCCTAGAGTGGCTCCCAACAGTGTCAAATATTGATTGTATTCCTTTGTTTGTGTCAAGTTTAACCCAAGTTGATATGGTAATTCCTGCCCTGGGGATTTGATGAAAGTGTACGCCATCCAGTAAAACATCTCCACCTGTTGTGATAATAAGATAAAAAATAAAACATGATGGAAATTGTTCATCATTGTCGAAAAAAACGGCATCGCAACAAGTGTTAGTTTAACATAAACTGCCTGTTGACGAGGGAAATTATGATTTGGTTGGCTCCAGAACTGGACAGGATGACGGGAATCCTTGGTTAGACACATAATAGACTCCGTAACTTTAAGGCGTTTTTTTTGTAAAATTAAGACAGTTCACCGTCGTTTTAGCGATTACTGCTTTAAAAACATGTCTTGGACATAAAAAAATGTCAAGAAGAGTTGTGAGAATCCTTTGAGTAATTCTTAGCTGTAGTCTGTGTACCACATCATAAATCCACCGGGTGACATGGAAACGGTAGCAACGATGGTAAAAGACAAGGTTAAAAGAGTTCAGAAACTCTTCAAGTCGTCTTAACTTACCCAGTAAGTTTGCTGCATTACCACATTTCCCACCATGTGGAACGATTTGTGCCCCGTTGGCGAGGAAACCTCTGTTTTCACTTCCGGAATCATCTAACAACGCACTCTGGGAATACTTGTCAAAACTCAGATGGACTGAGGGTGGGCAATGGGCTGGAAGTAAAAAAAAAAAGTTGTCTCGTTTGAAAAACTCCTTAAGCATCAAATGAAGAAATTTGAATAAGGAAATATATACCTATCTAGCTCTCCATAATTAGTTTCCGAGAAGATTTATATTACTAACAAAGGATACTGCCTAGAATAAATTTGCTTGTCTTTTGATGATAGTATTTTTCAATTCTTTTGCAATTTTATTAATCCTTGTTTCTTTGTAAGTACTTCTCCTTTATTGTTTAATAAGTCGAATTATACGTTCATTTTGACCAATTCTTACTTATGATCTATTGGAGGACAGACGCATAGATGGCGTCACCATTTAACAAATTTTGCTTCTTTATTCTTTATTTTTATTTATTAAAGAAAAAGTAGATTCCATACCGCCTTGAGTCTGTATGGTTATTGATCGCAGAAGACACCAAAACAAGGGGAGGGAGAACATCGGTGACAAACTCGGCTGCGCTTCATTTTGCCAATTTTTTTTTTTTTTTAGCACATTTTGACGTGATCTGTGATCTATAACTGAACAGACTTTAAATTTTTTTCTCATTTTAAAAATAAATGAGCGTCTGCAGTACGAGTGCATGCCAATGAATCTCACATTCACAGTAGTCCCCAACGTATCCCAGCCGGCACACGCATTTAGATATGCCTGGTTTGCATGTTCCACCATTCTGGCACGGAGACGCCAGACAGGTCCAGTCCTTGTCCCGTGGGGTCTCCACTGAAAGGTACACAACAACCAAGGTATTAAGAAATGGTCTTTAACGCTGACTCATAATTAAGGCTCATTCAACTTAAAACAACTGTGCTTTTAAATGGAGTAAAGAAAGATGGTGAACTTTGAGCTCCCGTGGACTCAGAAAATTTTCTCTGTCCCACGCTCGTGACAAGACGAAAAAACTGAAATATTTCGCAATGGTGCGTCATCCATGGCGGAAAGGGACTTAACCACAAAACCCTTCGACAAAGCTCAAGGTGATCGGAAGAACTTTTAGCTTGACAAACTGACTGAATTAGGGATTGTAAATGGACATTTGGAACAAAGTAGTTTTCACAGATGTAGGTAAAGGAAGCATTTACAACGCTGTGGTTATGTAGCCAAACGGAAGCTTGCAGGGGCTGATTGAAACGATTACCGTACTTGTGGAACTACTACTGTTTAAATAATTCTTTCATTCGAAATTTTTCATTTACCGCTTTGATAATGAGAAAAACGCTAAGGGATAGAAACTGTAGTCTAAATCGCAATTGTGTTCTTTTTATTATGAAAACCAGAGGATAACTTATGTCTCGAGTTGTCCCCTATCTCACCCCAGCATTCCAAGCCGTCTCCAACAAAGCCATGCTTGCAGATACAATGTCCTCCCACACAGTGCGCGTTAAGGTCACAATGCTGGCATTCCTCTGTTTAAACGAATAAGTTCAATTCACAGGTTCAATTTTTAATGCGAAACATTTGGTTAACGGTAGATAGAAAGCGGAAGGAAAAATAAAAAAAAATCTACAAAGTTGTGAAAAATTGAACGATAAACAGACACAAAATTGCAAAAAAAATGCGTTGCGTACAATCTTCTACGGACTGATAAATTATACCTCTTAACAATTCCATAGATTTGCTACTCACCGCCTCTTCCGGGAAAGAATTTAGGAGCTGAAGAGTAGGTGTATGCTCCAATATCTAAGAAACAAAGTACAAACCGAAGTTAAGAGTGAGTCTGAGACATAGAGAGTTAAAAGGCGCCCTACGAAGTCTTATGCTCGACTGCGTGCTGTCGCTGGGCTTCATCCTTAAACTTACAAGATCTGATTGTTAATTCCTGCCTTTACCTGCCATGCAATTCTCTCTCATTGCTTATGAGAATTTGATGTTAGGAGAATTTACTCGTTAATCACATCTTGGAATTAGGAGTTGAGGCAGGATGTTAGTAGTAACAGAATTTACGTTCTCGTGTAGATACGTAACTCTCGTTACGTTGA